TATGTGGGCGTGTTTTCTGATGGTCTCAGGCAACCCCTGTGAAAGGGTCATCCGACCCACAAAGGGGTCAGGACCCACAGGTTGAGAACTGCTGCCCTAGTGCCTCTGATTTCAGCCTCCACCACTTCAGACAGAGATCTTGAAGATACTCTACTCCCAATGGTCTTGGGATTTCTCTCTCTGCTCCTGCTTCAAAAGTGTCTCAGCACTCATGGATGGATGGATGCATTATGATAAGAGCTGTACGAGCCCCCAATAAAATGGTTTTTTAAAAATGGCTTCGCACTATAGAGGGGAGATGGGAGTGGGGTAAAGGGTTTGTGCGAGGGAATGGGCACAGGGAGTCGTAACCAAAACTAAATAGCAGTAACTTGTGTTCGGTTTGCACACGCCCTGTTTGCATCGTCTCCGCTGTCATGTGATGGGGGTTAGAGAGACATGGAGAGAAGAGCTATGTTAAAAATGTCACTCCACCACAGAAACACCAAGACGTTCTGCCCTATAAGGTCCCTATGCATCGGAATTAACTCCAACGACAGTGGTGTTTTCTTTTCTTTTCCTTTGTGATATAGGCTCCAATTAATATATCACTTTCTCAGAGAACCCTCCCACCTAAATGATCACCCCTAGGCCCTTATCCTCTGTTTTAGCAGCTTTTAAAATCTTTATTAGCATGTTTCCCAATCTATACTGATTTCATTTCTTCACACGTTCCCTCATTTCCTGCCGGCCTTTCCTCTCCCACACACTTCTTAAGGGCATGGAAGAGGCTTTCGGCCTCAGCTCCATACCCTGGGTTCTTGGCATAGAATGTCCAAGTCAAAAGCACACAGTACCTAAAGATAGGTTTCTGTGTCTTTGGATGACCTAGAACCAAATGCCCAATGTAACTATGACTTCTGTTCTAAGTGTCATTTACTGGTCACTAGATTTCTTATTTCCTCCCCTAGAAAAATGAAATTAACTTCTTTATGGGTAGTCAGTAAACTACTATGCTATTGATTCATATATATTTTTAAATCAGGCACCTGAACAGAAGACATTACTTTTGCCTTTGGTTCTAGAGTTTTTCATTTCTTTTTTTTTTTTTAAATCATTTTACTGGGGGATCATTAAACTTTTTAAAAAATCATTTTACTGGGGGCTCGTACAACTCTTATCACAATCCGTCCATCGATCCATTGTGTCAAGCACATTTGTGCATTTGTTGCCCTCATCACCTTTTGAGAGTTTTTCATTTCTATTTCTGAAATATGACATTCTGTTGACTGCCTTTGGAAAAAGATAATTCCAGGTCTGAATAAAGGATCTGATACTTCAGGTTTGAATGGAGTGGTGGTCCTCAAAGTGTGGTCCCCAGACCAGCTGCCCTTGGGGACTTGTTAGAAACTCAGATTCTCGGGTCCTGTCTCAGGACTGAAGCCGAACCTCTCGGTGTGGGACCCAGAAATCTATGGTTTCATACATAAGCCTCCAGGCGATTCTGCTACAGGCTCGACTTTAATAGCCACTGAAATAAAGTGGCCATCAACAGGAATAAACTAAAATCTCAAAATCCACTGCCACGAAGCCCATTCTGACTCACAGCAACTGTAAAGGAACGGCCCCCGGGGGTGTCTGCGACTGTAACTGTTTCTGGGAGGAGAAAGCCTCCTCCTTCTCCATCAGAGAGCCGGCTGGTTTCACACTGCTGATCTTAATCACCACCACACCAGGGCCCATGGTGCACAATAGTGTGTATGAAAGTAGATGCACACAGGTTACTTTTATAGGAGTCCCCAAGTAACATTACACAATACTTGTTTTGGAGGAGACAGCCCGGCAGGTATGATTGAAAAGGAAGTGTTTGACTTTGTGTATACCCAAAGTATAGCATGGAAAGTTTTGTGTCACATATCCTCGTATTTTTCCCCATTGAAAAATGTTCTCATGTTTAAAAATGATGACACATGTATAGATGTGTACATTCTTAACAAACATGCTGGAAAAAAACATTTGCTTTTTGCTGTCATTATTATTTGGCACTCTTTAATATTTCCACAGGCTGCTCTGGGGGTGCAAGGGTTAAGGTTGTGGAGAGCATTATGTCAAGGGAAATTAGCCAATCCCCAAAGCATCCGTATTATATGAGACCAGAGTTATAAGGTGGGGGCCGGGGAGGCGGGCAAGAGAAGACTTTCTTATCAAAGGGAACAGACTTCTGAGATTGCTAAGGGTTGGAAGATGAAGTCATGGGCCGGGCTGTGACAACAGGTGTTCACTTGGTTGAAGTAAAGCTTGTAATCCACAAGGGGGGGAGAAATCAAAGAGCAAGTGAAGGGTGAACTATTGGGGGGGAGCGAGGGGAAGAGTTGAGTAATTTAAATTGTTGGATACAAAGAAGCTGATGATCTGAATGTAAACCTCCATCGAATTCACCATAAAAAATCTTATTTTGAAAAACAAACAAACAAGCAAAAGGGTTTGGCTGCTAATTAAAAGGCCAACGGTTTGATTCCACCGGTGGCTTGTGGGCGAAAAGCCCTGTTAACTGGCTCTGGACAGAATCCTCACTGCAATTTCAACTGATAGCAATGGGAGCCGTCAGAGAACTGTCCCAGAGGGAGTCCAAGGGAGCACAGCTTTAAGGAATTAGACTGCCGAATCTTTGTCATGGACTAGCAGGTGGGTTTGATTGCTGTAACTGCAGCGCCACCAAGGCCCGATCGGTAGATGACAGCCTAGGCGATCCCACGGTGGGGGGGCAGTTCTTCTCGCATACAGGGTCACTATGTGTGCGCTGGAATGAGGAGGCTCTGCTGCTAATGGGAAAGGTGGTGGTTCTCGGTGGGAGAAAGGCGTGGCAGTTTGAAATGGAATCGGCAGGACACGACAGCACGTTTTCTATAACGAACACATAGCTTTTTGTTTTTTAAAAAATGTTATCTTTCATTGTTTTTAAAAGTTTGGAAAATAAAGATCGCCGTCTTGCCTCTCCCTGGGGGGTCTGAAAAGTTAAGAACGCCAGCGTTAGGCAACCAAAGGTACCAGGTGGACCTCCCCAGCGGGCGGCGGCTCTACCTGGGCCACCAGGGCACTCAAAACTCCCTGCCGTCATCATCGCGCCCCTGGGTGGGTTGGGCAGAACCGCCCCTGTGAGCGTCCCAGACTGGCTCTTGAAAGGGGTACAAAACCCAGCCTTTCTCCCACCAGGAAAGGGGGCGGAAATTTCCATTCTGGAATGGAGAGCAGTTTACTCTGGGAGGCTCGGGATCTGCGGTATTTTAGTGACCATCACATGTCAATTGTATTATTTTAAGCTCCATTGAGAAAACGTGGTGGGGGGGACTTGTCGAATGAGGGCACATCTTCGATGCGAAAATGCATCTCAGGCTTCTGAGATGTGACATCTGGAAATCTGTGAAAGGTGGGTTTGCAGCAGTTGACTGTTTTCCTCTTCCGGCGGTGGAACGCCACCACTCACCCCTTCGCTATGCCTCAAAGTGGTGCTGACGTTCTCTTACCCCCTGCCCGCCTCCCACCCCTCCACGCCATCAAATCACCTGCCTGAAGGTCTCTCACCTGGACCACTGACTTGCGCTAGTCGCCGAACCAGCGTGCTCACCATCTTACCCCGAGATCCGTTCATGCTTCACGGCACAGCTCAAGGGATCTTTCCAAACCTGCGATCCAGTCTCGCCCCTGCTACACCGTCCCCACGGGCTGCGTGACCCGCAGGGGGAGGTCTGTTTACCTTGGCACTCAGCTTTCTGTGACCTGGGCTCTGCCTGCCATAAATGTCTCCTGGCACTTTCTCCAAACGAAATTCCTTGCCGCTTCACCAAAGTTTGACCTACAGGCTTCGCACCAGCTTTTTCTACGCTCGGGCGGTTCTTCAATTAGTTTGCAGTGAGCTAGCAGGCGGTGCAGGGAGCTGGGCAGGAAGGCGTCCACGGGGCAGGCTGAGCCCAATTCGATACCAGTCAACACGGGCGCACTTCTTGGAAGTGGGGCACGGGCCCGCGGAGCAAAGCCTGGTAGAAACCGCCGCCCCCTACTTCGGGGACTTGAGGGCTGGCTCCAGGGGGCAACGTGGTGTGGTTTGGACTCCTGTAGAGTCTCACGATCGGTGTCTTACCTCTGAGACTTTGGGTTTCTGACTCTGGCGGAGTCTTGGCACCCACCTCTGCGAAATGGAAATGCCTCGCCCCCCCCCCCCCTCCAATCCCACCCCTTAGGGCTTCTGGGAGGGCTTAGGAGGAGCGGCACAGGATCACGCGGTTCGGTTTCCGGGAGACCAGGAGCGGCCCCGCCCCCAGGGCGGCGAGCCCCCGGCCCGCGGGCACCCCAGGGGAGGCTGCGGGCGGTTCTGCGCGTGCAACGACCGCCGCCTCCGAGCGAGCGAGGGGGGCAGCCCCCGCCCCATCGCCCCACCGCGGGGGGCAGCCCTCCACGCTCATTCCCGCCCCCGCCCGTGAATCACTGGGGAGTGGGGCCGTGACCCGTTCATGCCGGGAATTGGATCCAGATGTTCCCGCGGCGCGTGCAGCTGCATCTTTGCCTTTTTTGGCAAAAAACGTGCGGCGGCGACGAGAGCGGATCCCGGGCCGCCCCCGCTAATCCCTGGGAAGGGGGGCAAGCGGGCGGAGGGTCTGGGCCTAGACTGGGGACTAGGCCAAGATGCCCTGCGGGATTGGAGGACTACTCTTCGAGGGGGCGATGTGTATCAGGAGGACCCCGCCTCCTCCATTAATCCCGTTCCTATCAGGAACCCGCTTCCCACCCCTCCTTCCCTACGTGGTGGAAAAAACTTGCCGGCAGCAGCGAGGGATGGTGGCTTCGAGGGAATCCCTCCTTCGGGAACCTTCCCACCCCAAGGCCTGGCCCCTCCCTCTCGGCCCTGCCCGGAAGAGGACTGACTGCCCTGCCCTCCATGGCTCCAGGACTGACGGACAAACTGATGATAGAAGCTCCCTTTCCGCTCCCCCAACGCCTCCCCAACCCCACAAACACCCAGAAGCTGTGCGCCCTTAAACTGCTTTATTGCAGAATCTAGAGCAGGGTGTAGGGCGGTCACCCCTCGGCCCATCTCTGGGCAAGACAATGAAATGCAAAGACACTTGATGGATGATGGACGTGGAGCCCCTGCATCCCAGGACTCACCCCCAACCAGCAACCTCCTGTCCTGCTACCTGGACAGGCCCAGCACGGGGTATGGGGTGTGGGGGTCAGATCTGGGTACTGGAGGGAACTTCGAAAAAGTTCGTAGAATAATGGAAAAGATGATGGGTGGGATTTTCTTCCACGAACTTTTTGAAGCGCCTTCTTCTCAGGCACCTCCTGGAGACTTTGTCTTTGGAGTTTAGGCTAGGCTTGAGGGGGGCTGGGTTCCAGGGTCCAGGTTTGGAAAGCTGGGGTCTAGAGTCCCGATCTGAGAAGGGGACTTGGTAACAAGACCATGCATCGCAGGGACTGGGTTGAGTCGAGATCTGGAGTCCGGGTGTAGGGGCCCCTTGGGTCAGGGGTTGCAGTTTGGAGAGGTGGGGCTGAGGCAGAGAATCCTGGAGCCCAGGGGCAGTCCCATGGGGAGGAAGGGCGAGGGCCCCACAGGTGGTCTGGGCGGGAGCCACAGTCCTGGACCCCCACTGTGGGAGGGGCTGGGCCCAGGAGCCCTGCCTCAGGGCCCTGCCTGGCTACAGCCCTGGCAGAGCACTTGGTCTCCATCCGGCACGAAGCCTTGGCCCACCAGGGAGGTGGAGCAGCGGGCGCAGGAGAAGCAGCTGTGGTGCCAGCGGCGCTCTTCGAAGGACACGTACTTGCCCCCACCAAGTCCTAGAGGGAGGCCAGAGGTTAGTTGTGCAGACCCCAGTTCAGCCTGCCCCTCAGCCTCACCCAGGTCCAAGCCCCAAGTCCTGCCCACCCCGTTTTGGACCCAAGTCCCACCTGTGATGGGGCGCTTGCAGCTGCTGCACTTGGGTGCAAAGAGCTCCCCAAAACAGGCCACGCAGTAGGGATCTTCATCCTTGGAGGTGAACTGCTGTCCTGCCAGGGGCGTTTGGCACCCAGTGCAGACCAGGCATTCTCGATGCCAGGGCTGGTCACGGTATGTCACACCTCCCTGCGTCAGCGTCTGTGGGGACAGCACCCGTCAGCTGGGAGAAGGGGGACAGCCAGCCCACAAGGGAGTTCTGCTCACCCCCAACCCGTGGATGTAGTAGAGGTTAGTGCCCCCGCCCCACCTTGTTGCAGCGAGCGCAGCGAGGCGCAAACTTGTTCTCATAACAGGGCACGCAGTAGTGACCACCCTTGTCGGGCACGAAAGAGCGGGCGCCCAGGGGCTCCTCACAGCCGCTGCACAGGAAGCAGTGCTCATGCCACGTCTGGCCTCCATACTCCAGCTTCCGGGATCCTGTAGGAAATGGGAGTCCCACTCAGGCTGTGTCCCAAGCTTTGGCAGAGCACCCTCTGCCACCAGCCTCCCAGAAGAGACTCTCTTGCTCCCTTAGCAGAGCAGAGTGGTCCAGAGCAGTCCAGGCAAATGCAGCAGGACCCCGCCGTATACCTACTGCCCTCATGGGAGCCTTCCACAAGGAAACCCTAGTGGTTACTCGGTGGGCTGCTAACTGCTAAGGTGAGCAGTTCAAAACCACTAGGCACTCGTGGGGAGAAAGATAAGGTTGTCTCCTCCCGTAAAGAGTTACTGTGCTCAATGGCAGTGAGTTTGGTTTTTAGAAACTTCCACACATCTTCATCCCACCTTCGACATGAGTGCTTAGCCTGTTGTAGGCCCCCAGAACCTAGACATGAGGGTCTGGGGGTACGTATAAGCCTCCAGATGCACGAGCCATGACTACCTCAGTACCTCTCAAGTCTCCATGGAACAGGCATGAATCTCGGTATAGGCTGGGCACTTAGGTACTGGACAGGATCACACACACATTCAAACCAAAACCAAATTCACTGCCATTGAGTTGATTTCCCAAGGTGACCTTTGTAGGGCAGGGTAGAACAGCCCCTGTGGGTTTCCGAGACTGTTATCACTGGGAACAGAGAGCCTCGTCTTCCTCCTGAGGAATGGCTGCTTGTCTCAAGCTGCTGACTTTGTGGTTAGCAGCCCAACTTGTAACCACAACACCACCAGGGTTCCTGGACACACACGCACAACAAAACCAAACAAAGCCCAAACCAAACGCCATCGCCATGGATTTGATGTCAATTTGTGCAAGCCTGCGTGTTACAGAGCAGACCTCATCTTCAGAGGCAGGCACGCAGGCAGGAGCCTTTTTGAAAGCAGATCGCCAGCCCTTCTACAGCACTGCTGGATCACTAGCCTTGTTCTGGTACAAATCATGCGTGCCATCTAGGGGCACAAAGAAGATGCCCCCACACCCCCCAATAAGCCAGCCAAGCAAATCTGCCCACAAAAAGTTCTAATGCCTAGTGCATGCTAGATTCAGTACATGCTACACCCTTACCTATTCCAGGCATGTCATTCTCCACCCTGGCTAAGCCCTCATCTCTCCTACGTACCCACACATGCTAAGCCCTCTGGTTATCTGTCTCACTAGGCATGTGTCTTAGCATACCTTTACCTACCACAGGTACCAAAACACATACCTTTCTATGTATGCTAAGGGCCCACATGTGTATCAGGCCTGCTGGTCCAGTACACCCCAAACCCTCAGGAACATCGCAAGCTTGTCAGTTCCTCTACATGCTAAGCTGTCATGTGACCCCAGGCATATAAAGCGCCGAGAGCAGACAAGTATGGCATGCACTGAATTTCCCAGACCCTCCTGTGAGGGTGCAGGTCTGAACACATCCAAGCCTCCATGTGTCTATCTCACAGGCATGCCTGACCGAGATGCCAGTGCCTGCTTCCAGGGGCCCCCGGGGACGTACCGGGCATGACGGTCTCCCCGCAGGCAGAGCACTGCGAGGAGAAGGCACTGCAGTAGCAGTCATTGCAGAGCAGCTCACTGTCCTGACAGGTGAAGGGCTCATCGGCCAGGGAGCGCTGGCAGCGGCAACAGCGGAAGCAGCCCTCATGGAAGTGGCGGTCTTCATAGAACAGCTCCTGCAGGGAGCACGGGAGGGGCACTGACACCCCAGGGCCTGGTGCAGCCACCTTTGACCCCTGCCCTCCCACCAGCCCCACCCCCACTCCACTCCCTGCCTGCTGGTCCGGCCCTTACCCTGGAGTCATGCCCGATCAGCTCCTGGCACTCAGCACAGGTGTTGGCAAAGGTGTTGTCATAGCAGGGCACGCAGTGGGGGCCGCCGTCTGCCTGGATGTACTTGCGGCCATACAGGGATTCACCGCATTTCGCGCAGTCAAAGGCCTCGCTCATGGCGGTGCAGTGGGTGGGCCCTGGTAGGAACACGAGACGGGAGAGGTCACCCAGAGGGACTATGGCGCAGTCCTTTGCCTTCCAGAAAGGGAGCAGGCACCGGAAATGACAGCTCAGAGCAAGGGCGTGGGGGTGGGCGATGAGCCTGGGGTGCCTCTGGGACTGCAGGCGTCCAGCAGAGCTAGTTCTGTATTTAAAGGTGGGGGCCAGGAAAGAACCAGGAAGCAGAAGTTGCTTTCTTATCTAGGCCCGGACAGATCAGGGGAGGGGAGGGGGCTTTTCCTGGGTCAGTGACTCATTTCCTGCCCCAGCCTAAGTTTAGCAACCACTGTCCCAACTGTAAGGAGCACTGGTGGTGCAGCAGTTTAGGCACCTGGGGTGAACTAAAAAATCAGTGGTTCAAATCCACCAGCCTCAAAAACTCTACCTAGAGCAGCGGTTCTCAACCTGTGGGTTGCAACCCCTTTGGGGATCGAACGACACTTTCACAGGGTCGCCCGATTCATAGCAAAATTGTAGTAGCAAAATTACAATTATTAAGTAGCAACGAAAATAATTTTATGAAAAAAAAATGTTATGGTTGGGGGTCACCACAACAAGAGGAACTGTATTAAAGGGCTGCGGCATTAGGAAGGTTGAGAACCACCGACCTAGAGGCTTCATGTTGAGTTGGAGTCAATTCAATGGCATTGGGCTTGATTTTACCTTAAGGGTAAGGAGCCCTGGCGGCATACAGTGGGTTAAGTGTAGGCTGCTCCCTGCATGGTTGTGGGTTCAAAACCACCAGCCACTCTATAGGCAAAAGGCGAGGCTGTCTGCTCTCGAAAGAAGTCGTGGAAACGTCCTGTAGGGTCGCTGAGTCAGAATGGACTCACTGGCAGTGGGCTTGAGTTTGGGCCCGTAGAGTGACAGATCTGACCAGTGGACTCACCCTCTGTTGACTCCCAGAAAGAAACCGAGGGATGTGGACAAGTGAACTTCTATTGGATCTCTTGGGTGAGGGTCGGGGGCCGAGGGATGGGACTGGTTTCCTCCCCTCTCCTGGTCCAGGAAGTGGTGACATGCTGGCCAGCTGCTGGACAGGGGAGCGGCGGACACGCCTGAGGGTATGGAGCACTGGCCTGCCCTCCCAGGAGAATCAGCCAAGAAGCAGGCGCTTCAGAGGCACAGCCTGGGTTTAGGAGGAAGGAAATCCTGCAAGCTGGATGTGGGCTTCCCCAGCTGGGCCCTCTGCCCTCGGGGCTCCTCCACCCCTGCTGTGTTGTGTCTTTGGTCACACCAGCCTGGGTAGCCTGGGCCGGCAACATCTGTAGCAGCTGTGAGAGCCCAGAAGGCCAGATGTCAAGGATTGCCAGTGAACAGGAGAGCAAAATGGGAAGTGAGGTGCCTGGGGAGGAAATGGAGGCAGAAAGAGGGGTGTGCCCACCCCCACCCCCATCTGGTGCAGCCCCAGGGTCACTGTGTCCCTGGGACAGTCTCTTCCTAACTCTGCTGACTTCTAAGGGCTTGGGCCAGGAGTAAAGGGGAAGGGAGGGGGAGCCACTGAAGACATTTCCCCCTAATTCAGGCCCCCCTTAGGTGGGGGAGTAAGCCGAGGGAGCCCTGAGCTACAGACACCCAGCCCCCCACCAAACCTCAGACACTTTCCATTTCTCAGGAACAAAGCATGTTTGCGGGATGAGGTCATACACAGCTGCCTCTGGAACAGGAGCATGGGGGGATGGTACAGGGGGATGTAGGGAAGTGGGGTTCCCAGCCCCTTCTACTGCCTCTGACTGCAGTGGACCCCCAAAGCCAGTGCTCCCCAGCCCTGGCCGCCAGCTCCTCTGCCATGAAGCGGGCTCTCTAAAGGCCAGGACCCGGGCGGGCAGGCCAACAGGACACACTGGGAGGAAGCCCTAAAAGGCAGCCACAGATGAGTCGGGGAAGTTAGAGAGACACACACAAAGAACCCCTCCTGACGCCAGCGAGTGCCGGCGTCCCAGAAGAGCAGGTCCTGGATCAAGTTGAAGGAAAAGCCCTCTTCTTTTCAGCCACCACAAGTGGGCGAGCCTTGCTCTGGCTTGGACTCCAGACTCCAGGCGCCAGCGGACACCCCAAGCCTGGGAGGTGGCGGGGAGCTGGCTCCTCTGAAGGGCTGGCTCTTGGGAGTGCTCACCTTCTCTTCTGTGCAATGGGTGCTCCAGAACCCAGTGTCGGCCTCCAGGGGTTGCAGGGATGCTGGGGCCAGATGCCTTTCCGTTCAGTGGCCTCCCCCCACACCCGCCCGTTTCCTTTGGCCCCACATCTGAGGCAAGGTTGGGCTGGGCTGTCACCTACCGGGCAGGAGGGGGCCATGCAGGTGTAGCGTGGGGCCCTGTGTCCGGGAGGGCCCCGGGTTCTTTCCTTCCTTCCTAGCTTGGCCGCCAGGGCAGCCTCCACCACCTTCCCAGGCCCAGGCTAGCCCTGGACCCGCCCGCCCTCTGGGAAACAGCCATCAGTCACTAGGAGACAGAGGCACCCCAAATAGGTCAGGGGCGTGGCTTCTTTCCTTCCCAGAATCCTCTAGTCTGTTCAGCTGGGCTCTGGTGAGGACAGAATGAAGGGCACTATCAAGGCCCACCTGTCTCTGCCCATCCCCCTGCACCCCACCCCTTCCCTGGCAGGGCTTGGTGGGGGGAGGGGGGATTGTAGGGAGCCCGTTCTTCCAGACTGGAGGGCAGGGGTGGATGAGGAGCAGGGCGGGCAGGGAGTCTGTTCAGTGTGCCAGATGGCTCTCAGCCCCCTCCAACCACTATCAGTACACACACACACCCTGACCTAGACCAGCACACCTGGCACTGGAGCTTCAAATGGCTGGCTAGTGGACTTTTGTGGAGAAATGTCACAGCCCTGGGCCTCAGTCCTGACTCCTTCACTGCCTAGCTGGGTGACCTCGGGCAAGTCCCCGCTGAAGACAATGCAGCACTAAGGCTTCCTACCTCTTAAGGCTGTTGTTGGGATTAAATGGGAGGCTTCTTGTCCAGCACCTGGCAGGTAGCAAGCACTCAGGAAAGGTTTGCTGAGTCTTTTCATGATTAGTCCCACCTTCATTTTGAGAGTCAATGGCAAGAGCCCTGGTGGCATCGTGGTTACACATTGGGCTGTGATCCACAAGGTCAACAGTTTGAAACCATCGGCCTCTTCAAGGGAGAAACACAGGCCTTTCTACTCCTGCGCACAGCTGCAGTCTCAGAGACTCACAGGAGCAGTTCGACCCTGTCCTATAATCGGCATTGACGTGATGGCAGTGAGTTTGGTTTTGGTTTGAAACAGTTTCTCAGGCAGGCCTGGATTTAGAGATTGAGATAGGTCCCTCTGAAAGACATATGTTATACATCCTAATCTTTCTGCCTGTGCCTGCATGGCACAGAGGTCAGGTACGTGGCTGCTAACTGAAAGGGCAATGGTTCCAACCCACCAGATGCTCCAAGGGAGAATGATGGCGCCATCTGCTTCTGTCAAGATCTACAGCCTTGGAAACCCGATGGGGGCAGTTCTAGTCTGCCACCTATACAGTTAAGAGCCTCATTCAACTCACTGCCACGGAAGAACCACTATGCCATTCAGGCTCCTTCACACTGTCAGTTGGAGCCAGGAATTACTCAGTGGGAACTGGTTTGGTTTAGTTTATGCCTGTGCTTAGAACCCCACTGGGGAAGGGGCTGCCTTTGTTATGTGAATGCGGCAGGATTCGTTTGGAGTGTATCTGAGTCAATCTCTTTTGAGATACAGAAGAGAATAAAGCTAGAAGCCCAGAAGGGAGAAGGGTGGGGTGGGTCGGGTGGGGGTGGTGGTCAATCACCAGAGCTTGCGCCAAGAGTAGCGGCTCCAAAGAGACAAGGACCTTCCTCCAGGGCTGGCAGAGAGAGGTAGCACCTTCTCTGAGAGCTGGTACCCCGACTTTGGACTTCTGTTCTGGCAGCACTAGATCCTTAAGACACCCGCAAAAGGGAGCTGGCCTAGCCTTGGCTTGCTCCCTTTTGTTCTGTGTAAGACCAGGACTGGGGAGCAAGGAGAGAACCTCCTCTTTTATAAGGGGCACAGAGGAGGCCTCAGGCCCGTGGAGCTCACTGAGGAGACCAGGAGAGCTGGTACTGGATCTGGCCCTGCCATCCTGCTCCAGTGAGCACAGCCTACCTGCAAGTTCACCCACAGATGCCATGCCCTCCACTGGATACCCCCCAAGCACATTCCCACCCACCACTGCAGAAGGCCTCGCAGAAGGCAGGCCCCACTCTCCAGCTGAGCACCAGGAGCCACCAAGGTGGCTCAGGCAGTCGGAGAGCCCAGGTCTCAAGCCACCCAGATGGGAGCCCTTACTCCGTCTCTGCCTGGGCACGCTGGTGGGCAGCCATCTAGGGGCCAGGGAGCAGGAGGCCTGGGTTAGTGTCACTGTGACTCAGGGTTGGCTCTTGTCCCCTCTTACCCCCCTGCTGGCAGCTCTGCCACTAGAGGACATCCAGCGGCCTTTCCAACCACCCATGCCAACCACTCTGGCCCCCTCCTCCACTGCCCAGGAGGGCCCCACAGCTGTGAGCCAGGATCACCACAGACCCCGCCCCCAGCCCCCAGGAGTTGACAGGAGACTTAAGGGGTGAAATCAACCCCAACCCCAACCCCCATCTCCTGCTACTAGGCACCAACCACAAACTCCTCTCCTCCCTCCCCCCTAGGAGCCTGGAAGTCAGGGCAGTTTAGGCGAAGGGGGATGGGACACAGGATCTGGCGGCTGCTCTTGGGGACAGAAGAGGGACAGTTCATTCACCCCGGGTCCCCCAGGGCTGAAGCAGGACGTCCAAGATTTGAGTTTAAAAATAAGCTGGGGCAGGCTTGGTGGCTTGTGATCTCAATCTGATTGTCTTGGGTCCCATTCTGGCGTCCCCCTCTTTCCGGGCCCGGGTCTACGGATGGTCTGGGAAGCTGCCAGCCAGCCAGCCTGCCAACCTCTTCGCCGCCACTAAACCTCAGCCTCTGGGGTTCCGGCTCCGCTCAGCATCTCTCTGCCTCCCTCAGAAGCTGTCTGCCTGTTTGGCCATCTCCCAACGGGGGCCATCGCCTCTCTGGATGTCTGTCTGCCCCGGTGGAGACCCGGGTCTTGGTCTCCCGGTGTCTCCCACCTCCACCCTGGGAACTAGAGACGGAGCACCAGGAAGCGAAGGAAACAAAAGTCCAGGGCTTCTCCGAGGACCTAGCAATGTGTTTACTAAGGGATCGCCTGAAGTCTTTTCTTAAAAAGAGCCACAACCCCCTATCCGCCCCTGTGCCCGGAGTCCGTCTCTCGATGACTGGACACCCAAGTCTCTGTCCGGATTTTCAGTATCCCCGCAGAAGGAGCCTTAGTCAGCCGCTCGCGTCCCAGTCTCGCCCCACCCAGGGCCCTGCCGGCCTCAGTTTCTCCCACTCTCTGGGTCTCTGCAGGCCGCACAGTCTGTCTCTCCGATTTCAAACTTGGCCCCCGCCCCCGCCCCTCCGGAGGCAGCCCGGGCCTGCGCTCCGAGCTCAGCGCCCGGCTCCCCGGGTGCCCGGCGTCCGGTGCGGGACCTGGGCAGGGGCCGGGGGTCGCAGGCGCCCGGAACCCTTGGGGGCCAGTCCCTGCGTGCCGGGTCTGCGCTGGGATTCGGGCCGGCGCGGCGGGGTGCGCACCTCCCAGCGGGCGGCAGCAGCAGCGGGGTGCAGCGCTCGTGCGGGGGGTGGGGGCAGCGACGCGGGAGAGGGGCGCGGGTTTCGGCGGCTCCTACCTGTGGGCCGGGCTGAGCGGCCGCCGAGGGAGCTGCCGGACAGACAGCCGGCAGCCGACGGACTATGTGGGCGAGTGGGAGTGTGGCCCCAACCCCACCCCGAGGAAGTGAGCTCGGAGCCCGCCCCGCCGGGACCCCGCCCCCCGGCCCCCCAAGCCGGCTGCTGGGGGCCAGGCCCCGCCCCCCCACACCTCCCTTTGGGTCTGGCCGCCCCAACCCCCTCCCCGGCACAGCCTAACCTGGCTCTCCCAACCTTCCCGGCCGTCAGGACCCCGCCCCTGCCGCCTCCCTGCAGCCTCCGCTGCCCTCTCGCCCGCCGCCCTCGTCCCGCCCCCGCTGCGGGCGGGAGACCGCGGTATTCAACCCCAGGCAAGCCAGACAGACCCCCACGCAGCCCAGGGTCGGTTTGAGCACCGAAGCGTCCTCGTGTTCACGCTCTCTGCCCCCTGCCCCAGCTTTTTCCCAGCGGTCACGCTCAGCTAGTGTTTGAGGAAGGCCTTGACCCAGCCTGGGGGAGGAGGTGGGCTCAAGGCGGCCTGTCAGTGGGAACCCAGGTGTGCTCTGGCGCCCCTATAGGGCACTGACCTTCAAAGAATCTCATCCCCCCCCCCAACTCCGAGTAAGCACCTGCCCACCCCAGCTGCACCCTGGCACTTCAAAACCCTGCCTAGGCTTCCACAGTGGCCAGGAATAGTTTTGACCTTTGAGGCCCAGGGGATACCCTAATCCTTGGCCCTTGGATCCCTGGACTTTTCACGGAGGGTTGGGAGGCATGTGAGTGGATGGGGTGTGGCAGAGATCATGTTGTGGAAGGGATCGTTTCTGACCCTCTGCCCCCCCCCACCCCATCACCAACCCCACTCTGAGCTTGAGAGGGTGGTCGCTGCCAGCCTCTCTCTAGGTGCTGGAGGGCACCCCTCTGGGGTCCCAAAGCTTTTCACTGGGAATAAATAACTTGAGGGAGGGGGAGGGAGGAGGCGGTGTGGTCAGTGTGCAAAACAAGAAATGACAAGCCGTCCCTGGCACTAACCTCTGACTTGGAGAGTAGATCCGGTTGCTTTGTGGGGGCCAGGGCTGGGCGTTTGCTGTGTTTTCGTTTCTGGAGTAGAGACTCACATCCCCACAGAGGATCCCCTCCTGAGTCTGGATCCTCCCAAGCTCTCAGGTTCGGGACCCACTTCCTCCCTACTGAGGGCCCTCCTCCGAGTGGCCTGCCTGGACTCCTACTCCAAACTGCCCTCCAGGGCAGGTTTCCTTTCATCATGAAGTCAGGGCTTGTTCCTCAGGATGGGTTGTTGCTGCCTAAGCTCTAGGTTCCCTGAGGGCTGAGACCAGGCCTATCTTGTTGGCCGCTGCATTCTCAGTGCTTCCCCCAATGTCCGACTCATCATAAATGTCATCATCAATACCCTACTTCAGTCTGCGCTCCAAACTCCCAGCTAGGAGTCCAGCCTGTGGGTGGGCCTTCCCTCTGGTCCTGAGATCAACATGCATCGAGGAATTGGTCTTGGTTGGCCTTGTAGGTGCAGGGGTCTGCCAGCCCTGATAAGTCACCAGGGTGACAGAGGGTAAGG